CTGTTAGCAGTGTGGTCCTATTAGCAGCAGGGTACTGTTAGCAGTGTATTCCTGTTAGCAGCATGGTCCTATTAGCAGCATGGTACTCTTAGCAGCATGGTCCTATTAGCAGCATGGTACTGTTAGTAGTGTGGTCCTATTAGCTGCATGGTAGTGTTAGCAATGTGGTACTGTTAGCAGCGTGGTCCTTACTCCTGTTAGCAGCATAGTTCTGTTGGCAGAGTGATTTTGATGAGTCCTTTTCAAAATTTCATCTAGAAAAAAAAAAATCTGTGAATAAAGAAATAAACAAAATGTATGAGTCTAAAATAATTTTAGCCATTGCGGTTTACCATATTGGAAACGTTGCATGTTTTTTGGGTGGTGCTCAGACTTCAGTATGAGCATTACTCTTTGTTTGGTTTAATAATAATCATGATCATTAAACTTTGACTGTCTTTCATGTAGGAATTTCACAATGTTTTCTCCCTCATTATGCTGCTAAATGCATTTCATCATAACCTCTGTGAAGTCATCTAATTATTTAAAGCAGAACAACCTTAGGACTCTTTGTCCTGCATGTTTTGAATGCTTTCCTGCTCAACACACCTGGTTTAAATAGCTATTACCTGTTCAACATGTTAATGACCCATTCATTCAGTTAGTTTAAACAAGCAGACGTTTTTCTGCCAACAGAGTTTTAAAATATATTCTAATAGATCTTGCCATCTTTGTGAGATTTGTTGTGAAATATCACTGTCAATGAAGCCATAAAAAGTACTAAAGTTAGTAAGACTTGACTGAGATAAAATTGTCTCGCATAAAAGCCTTTTTTTACAGTTGGTAGAAAAAGAACTCGGCTGAATTATGGTTTCTTTCTTCAAGATAAAATTAAACTTGAAATGAGAAGTCTGCTGATTAAAAGTTGTGTCTTACAGCCATAAAATACTTGTGGATGCATAAACAACAGGCTCTGTTGACTCACACAAATTATTACCAGCACAGTGTTTCAATGTGGGCATGTTGTGTTTATGGCTCCATGGTTGCATACTTTCATTTCATTTTCTTCCTGACACTTTGTTGTTGGACTAACAAAAAGATGGAACGCTGCAGCTTATAATGAAGGAAATTAAAAAGTAAAATTCATTAGAACATAATCTGGACCACCATCCAGAAAGTCCACCAAAAGATATTTAGGAGGCACAGAGATTGAATGGGTCTGGTTACTTTTTGACTTATAAATGCTCTGATTATTGGCATGCCTCTCCGTGTTATTTATGTATTTTTACTTTCACTTTTTATGCTTCCATGGCATTGACGAATGTGAGTCAACTCAGGATCTGTTGATTTTTTTCCCTTTTTTTTACATCAATACTACACTTTACAGAATTTGATCTAAGTTTTTATTATTAGTGTAAAGACACGCACTGAACAGTTTTTTTTCCTTGCTTCCTTCTTTCCTTCCTTCCTTGCTTCCTTCCTTCCTTGTTTGCCACTAGAACCCATGTCCAACAGTCGCTGTACGAGAGGTAGGGTACACCCTGTGCAGGTTGCAGTTCCATCATAGAGACACATGCATGCACAAAGACAACATGAAAAGTCTATGCGGAAAGGTCCCAGGCCGGGTTTTGATCCGGCAACCTTCTCGCTGAGAAGTGAGAAGTTATACAATACTCCATACTTGAAAATGATTTTCTAATGTGTGTATTTGCATTCTGAAAATTCTGTGTTGGGTGGCTCAGCAGAGCAACAGGGTCGCAGGTTCAGCTCCTGGTCTGGGCCCTTTCTGAGTTTGTGTGTTCTCTCCGTGCATGCATGGGTTTTTCTCCTGGAACTCCGTTTTTTGGTCCTATGACCAAAACATGCATGTTGGGTTAATTGGTCACTTTAAATTGTCCCTAGGTGTGAGTGAGAGAGTGAATTATTGATGATCATTTGTCTCTGTGACTGCCTGAGCTTGGCGCTAGCTTCCCCACGTAAGAAACAGTAAAGAAAACAGATGAATGAAATTCTGTAAATGGGATTTTTATTTGCAGGCCTTCAAGGTTGCAGAAGATGAATTGGGAATTCCAGCGCTGTTAGATGCAGAAGACATGGTGGCTCTAAAAGTCCCTGACCGACTCAGTATTCTGACGTATGTCTCGCAGTACTACAACTACTTCCACGGGCGCTCTCCCAGTGAGTACTACCACTGTGGGGTTGTGTCCACCCCTGCTTTCATCTGTCTCTGCACGTCTCATCTGCCTGCGTTTGCACACAGTTGGAGGTATGGGAGGTATAAAGCGTCCAGCAGAGTCGATCACCAATGAGCCACCTGGAAAGAAGAACCAGCCAGTTGTATCTAAGATGTTTACAACTTCTAAACCCACTAGAGAAAACAGTCCTCCTCCTCCTTCCAATGTCACAAGACCCTCTTCTTCCCCAAAACCAAACAGAAATCCAACACAGGTGAAAACTGCTGCATTAATATTATAAAATGAATACTGGAATGCATAGTGTTTGAAATGCCTAAAGTCTAAAAAAATTGTTGTTTCGAGAAAAGCTTTTTCTGACAAAGAATGCAGAAAGGAAGTTCAACATGTCAAGTGACCTAAATAACTAGAATTATTGCTTTGACTGTGCCAAAAGTTAAAAAGGTCATTTTTGCACCTAATGGAAGTTCCCTCTTGTACACGGCCTTCTTTCTCTCCTCCAGGATGTTGGGAAATCCATTCAGACCGGCACCTTGAGCAACAAATGTACGACATGTAACCAACATGTTCACCTGGTGCAGCGACACCTAGTGGATGGGAAGCTGTACCACAGGAACTGTGCAAAGTAAGGACTCTCATAATAATTTAAATCATATTTATCTGATATATTCCAGTTTGTAGATGTAAATAATGAATTTTCTTATTACACCAATGTTAGTCATGGAGTTCTGCAGGGTTCAGTGCTTGGACCAATACTCTTTACCTTGTTAATGCTTCCATTAGTAAAGTTATTAAACAACATGGGATACATTTTCATTGCTGCTGATGATACACAGTTATATTTGTCCATGAAACCCAATGAATCCAGTCAGTTACTTGGATTATAAATATGTCTTAAAGACATGAAAACATGGATGACCCTTAATTTTCTGCTTTGAAACTCAGACAAGACTGAGGGTTTGGTTTTTGGACCTGAGCATTTTAGGAATAAATGTTGCAGCCTTTCACCTTCTCTGGATGGCATTAATTTGGCTTCCTGCTCTAATGTTAAAAACCATGTGTTGTTGTTTTTTTTTAATCAGGATGTCTTTTAACCCCCACATTAAAAATGTTAACAGAACTGCTTTTTTCCACCTGTGTAATATCGCTAAAATTAGAAACACCTTGTCTAAAAATGATTTAGAAAAACTGGTTTCATGCTTTTATAACATCTAGACTGGACTATTGCAATGGTTTTATCTGGGTGTCCAAAAACTTCATTAAAACGTCTTCAGTTGATCCAAAATGCTGCTGCCAGAGTTTTCATGAGAGTTAGTAGGAGAGATCATATCTCCCCAGTTTTAGCTTCTCTTCACTGGCTCCCTGTCAAATTCAGAATTGAATTCAAAATCTTACTTCTAACCTACAAATCTCTCAACAACCTAGGTTCATCTTATATTACAGATCTTGTTGTTTCATATTTTCCTAACAGAGCACTTCACTCTCAGACTTCAGACTTACTTGTGATTCCTAGAGTTTCCAAAAGCAGAATGGGAGGAAGATCTTCCAGTTATCAGGCTCCTCTCTTGTGGAACCAACTTCCAGTTTCTGTCCGTGAGGTTGACACACGGTCCAGTTTTAAGACTAGGATTAAGACTTTCCTTTTTGATAAATCCTATAGTTAGGGTTGGCTTATTATGCTGCCATAGGCTTAGACTACTAGAGGACAAATTGACCACATTTCTTAAAATTAATTGGTTATAAATGCATACAAATGAATAGTTTGCATTTGAAATTATTTCTATCTTAACATGTGATTCTTGACCTGCCATTGTGTATCTGTTCCTTCTTCCTGTTCCTCTCAAACCCAACCGGTCAAAGCAGATGGACGCTTGTCCTAAGCCTGGTTCTGCTAAAGGTTTCTTCCTCATGAGGGAGTTTTTCCTTTCCGCTGTCACCTTCATGCTTGACCAGGATGAGAGTCTGTGATGAAGTTAAACTCAAAGCGGTCTGCTCCTCAGATAAATACCACCATTAACTTACTTTTTATATATGAATGTTTCTGTTCAGTGCTCTGAGATGACTTCGGATGTGACTTGGTGCTATATAAATACACTGAATTGAATTGATTTGAATTTTGGAGGGGAGGGTTTTCAAAATGTGTATGTTCTGTATTCTTGTGAAAATTTTAAAACTTGTAAGTGACCCATAATAAAGTTACTTATATGTTAAGTAAAAGTTATCAGGAGCTACATGCATCATATTTGTTCTGGGGGGGGGGGGGGGGGGA